TTTTATTTTTACCGTTATTTTTATTTTACTTCTTTTGTGTCTATCTTTAAAAGTTTCATTTTGATTATTTTCAGCTGTTTATGCGAAGGGCGAGAAATCTAGATCTACTACCTGTTGATCCTGAACCAGAACGCACATTTCGCAGTCTCAGAGGTATACAAAGAAACGAACGGGAAGCAATGGCAGAACAGGATGTTAGAGCAGCCAATGAGGATAACCAACAAAGGGCTATTCAGGACTACATAAGGCCAGTTGTCAATGACAACTATTCCGGCATCGCACGCCCAGCAATTGCTGCAAACAATTTCGAATTGAAGCCAGGGTTGATACATATGGTACAGCAAAATCAGTTTGGGGGTGCTGCAGTAGAAGACCCAAATGCTCATCTTGGATCCTTTTTGGAAATTTGTGACACGGTGAAGATGAATGGGGTTACTGAAGATGCAATTAGACTCCGCCTATTCTCATTCTCTTTAAGGGATAAAGCAAAGGCTTGGTTCCAATCACTACCATATGGCTCAATTACAACTTGGGATGATTTGGCTCAGAAATTCCTCACCAAGTACTTTCCACCTTCTAAATCAGCTCAACTTCGCGATGAAATTAGCCAATCAACTTCGCGGTGAAATTAGCCAATTCAAACAACTCGACTTCGAGCCATTCTATGAAGCCTGGGAAAGATTTAAAGATTTGCTTAGGAGATGTCCTCAACATGGGTTCCAGAAATGGGTGCAAATTGAGATATTTTATAATGGGCTAAATGGGCAGACAAGGACTATGGTAGATGCAGCTGCGGGAGGCATTTTAATGGCTAAAACAACAGAGGTTGCATATGCTTTATTGGATGACATAGCTACGAACAGTTACCAATGGCCAAGTGAGAGATCGGGTGTAAAGAAAGTAGCAGGACTTCATGAAGTGGATCCCATCACCGCACTAGCAGCTCAGGTTGCATCACTCACAAATCAGATAGTCACGCTTACCACTCAAGGAAATCAACAGAAGGTAGATTCAGTCATAAGTACTTCTTCCTCAAACCAAGAGACAGAGATTGCAAACGAGCAGGCCCAATATATCGACAGTAGAAACTTCAATCAAAGAGGAGGCTACCAAGCTAATCACTATCATCCAGGGCTGAGGAATCACGAGAACTTGTCATATGGCAACAATAGAAATACACTTCAACCTCCACCCGGATTCAACACTCAGAATTCTGATGGGAAACCACCCTTGGAAGACATCCTTGGGACGTTCATTTCTGAGACAAGATCACGCTTCAACAAAAATGAATTACGGTTGGATAATATTGAAACACATGTGTCCAACATGGGAGCCACAATGAAGAATCTTGAAGTGCAAATTGGCCAATTGGCTACCTCAATAAAGTCTCAGCAAAAAGGAAAATTTCCCAGTGACACGGAGGTTAACCCACGGGAACACTGCAATGCGATCACCCTAAGGAGTGGTAAAATGGTTGAAGAAAGCAAACCTAAGAAAATTGTGGTGCCTACGTCGGATGTCATAGTTACAGATGAAAGGCAGAAAACTGAGCCAGAGGGTACAAAGATCTATAAGCCTTACTCGATCTCATTTCCGGACAACCCACCAATCTTGAAGCCCCCACTACCATTCTCGCAGAGGTTCATGAAGAAGAAATTTGATGACCAATTTGCAAAATTCCTGGAAGTCTTCAGGAAAATCCACATCAACATTCCCTTTGCAGAAGCTTTGGCCCAAATGCCTAACTACGCCAAATTCTTGAAGGAAGTGATGTCAAATAAGAAGAAGCTGGAGGAGTTCGAGACAATTAAGCTAACAGAGGGGTGTAGTGACATGCTTCAGAAGCTCCCTCACAAATTGAAAGATCCGGGCAGCTTCAACATCCCGTGCAATATTGGTGGTATCACATTTGATAAGGCACTGTGCGACCTTGGAGCTAGTATAAACCTGATGCCCCTATCAGTGTTCAAAAAGCTGGGTCTTGGAGAAGTAAAGTCTACAACCCTCACTTTGCAACTAGCGGACAGATCAATCACATATCCCAAAGGCATGATTGAAGATGTATTGGTGAAGGTCGATAAGTTCATCCTTCCTGTGGACTTTGTGGTGTTGGACATGGAGGAGAACGAGAAAATACCGTTGATTCTTGGTCGACCTTGCCTAGCTACTGGAAGAGCATTGATTGATGTCCAGGAAGGAAAATTGACACTGCGGGTTAATGAAGAGCATGTGACTTTCAACATCCATCAAGTAGAAAAGCCTCAAGAAAAAGTCAACATTTGCAATATGGCCCAATCGGCTGAAGCAGTTTTAGGTCACAGAGAAAAAAAAGAAGTGTTCTATGACCCTTTAGAACAGTATATGGCTCTCAATTACTTAGTAAGGGATGCATCTACTGATGGCAAATACTCGGGAGCCGAAGAAGTAGTGGATTTCATATTCACCCAAGAAGCTGATCCACCTGACAAAAAAGAAGGCTATGTGGCTAAGCCTTTGAAACCTCCAAACATTGTCAAACCAAAAGAGATTTTGAAGGCTGGATCGAGGTTCAAACCGCCTGATTTTATTGGCCATACTACGATGAAGGAGAATGCAAAGCCGAGGGTAAAATTCAGAAACAAGAAAGATGCTCTACCCGAAGATCCACCGTAGACACCTTGGTTGAGTCAAGCTAGTGACTATAAAGAAGCGCTTCTTGGGAGGCAACCCAAGCTTTCATCTTTATTTATTTATTCTGTTTTTGAATTTTAGGATAATTTATTTTATTTCAGAGTTGTTATTTAGGAATTCATCAACCCTACCCGTCTCTTAGGTTTTTTAAAAAAAAAATCAAGTTGGTTATCGATGTTTGAGCTAACCACTTGTTCCATGAGTTTAATATCTACATTGTAATTTTTTAGGAACATGACATCGCAGATCAATCAAACAGTATTGAAAAAGGAGAAGCTGGATAAATCTCGAGTTTTGGGGAAAGTTAGAAGAAACGTCCATCAAATTCAACATTAGTGCACCAAATCATCGTTGGCAATTCAGACAATTCAAGGAAGTCCTCTTTTTCTTTTAATTTAACATTGGGGACAATGTTTAGTTTAAGTTTGGGGGGAGTGTATTATAAATTGTCTAATTGCCAAAATTTTTGGTTTTGTCTGATTTGTGTGCAAATTTTTTGATTTGTGTGTTTTTTTTAAATTATTTTATTATTATTTATTTAATTTTTATTTGTGTGCATTGACAAAAAAAAAATTCGTGTTTTGCATGCTTGTGTGAGTTAGATAGCCTTGCTGCGATGATGTATAATATTAAGAACATGTATTGGTTCATGGATTATGGATAAGTTACTTGTGTGAGTTAGATTTTTGCTTATTCGTGTGAAACGGAAATTATTTTTGCACGTGGGTTGATTGTAGCGTTGTACATGAGTAGGTTGGTCCATGTTTATAGGTTGAATGTGAGAACTTAGATGCTAAACCCATACAACCTTTAAACATTATTATACCCTTAAACCAAATATAGGTTGTTTGGTAGGTTAAGCTATTGCAGGAAAACTTGGAGATAAATGTGGATTCCATGCGTGCTAAATTTTGTGTGGATTGTCTGAGACTAATAGGATGAAAACTGGGTGAAGACTTTAAGTTAGAGGTCTATTTTCGAGAATAGGTGTTTAATAAGGGGCATTGCACTAATCATTGCAAAAAAAAAAAATTCCAATGAGGACAACTTTAATAATCTCATTGTGAATCATCTCTTCGTAGCCTTTATGACTCGAGTAATTAAGCCTGTAAGGGTTTAAAACCTGGTGCCCTAAAGTCGTCTGATTTGGGAGTCATCGGCCTAAAGCTCGTTACAAGGGTCATTTAGAAAGCTTGAGGGAGTGACGTCCACACAAAGGGTGTTTAAAGAATACAATAAAAGAGAGAGAGAGAAAAAAAATAGATATCAAATGCCTTGATTAAGCCCCGAACACCTGTTTTAGAGGATTAGACCTTTGATAAGAGGTTAGTAATTCGGT